AAGCTAGCAACAACGATAAACAACCGACTCTACATTGAATCTGTGGGGAAAAAGAACATATTGTTTTAATGCACCACTTGTTCCAAACAATGTTGATTATAAATCACTTCGGCCAGCTATCTGCCATTAGTGGCAAAACAATCAATCCCTCGAGAGGACTTCTGCGTGTCGGCGATAAAGAGATTCCATCTCAGCATTTGTAGGCTTCATACCAATTGCCGTACACTTGGTCTTCAGTAAGTTGGTATATTTGGTACATTTATTATATTACATATGTGTACATCATGTAATCCAGTAAGTTGGTTTGTCACATTCACTATATTGTATATATTTTACATTATGTTCAGCAAGTTGGTATATTTGTATATTAGTTCAAGATCCTCGTCCTCGCTTTCAAACCCTCCATGGCCTTGCTCCCCCACCACCCCACCTCCGTGCCCTGCTAACCCCACACCGGCCTGCCCGCAGGCTCTGCGTGGCGGACTCTGGCTCCACATTAAACACCATCGTCGGTCTGGCCTTCAGCCTTTCTGCCCTTAACATTTGGAACTCCATCCCACAGTCCCCTTGTCTGGCACCCTCCCTCACCTCCTTCAAGGTCCATCTCAAGACCTTCCTCTTCGACCGCACCTTCGGTCAGCCTCCTACCCCCATCCCTCCTGCCATCCACCCTCCTGATCCCAAACTCCAGCTCGGGTGCACATCCTTGAACGTCCAGCGCCTTGGGAAGTCCTCCCAACGTGAAAGGCACTATATAATTTGCTGTTGTTCACTCTGGATGGCAGGAGGATTAATTGCACAGTTGCCACTCAAACTGTGTCACGTTAAACACATTTTGGGGGAAAATTCCTTTTACACAGTTCCACATTTCCAAAGTGGGTTATAGATGTGAATGTGTACGACAGAATCTTTGTTTTATGCTCTGGGTCCCTGCAAACCTTCCGAGGATCTTTCCAGCTCCATCTGGGATTGGCTGCAGTACCATTTTGAACAGCATCCGAGCATCAAAACTGAATCCACATAAAATGTGGCAGCTTTTTGGCATCAAAAATGTTCTTTTTGACTGGAGCATACACTTCTCAAATATCTTACAGAAGTTTCAATACTACATTGAAACTTTGCTACCACTCCCTCAGTAAATATTCAGGGTATAAGTCAACAGAACTGCTTGGCTGAGCCCTCATACTTCTACAGTACAGGAATAATAATCCAATAATCCTTGCCTTTGATTATAGCGTCTAGGAAGGAGTCTAATGGAAGCAATTTGAACACAGTTATATGAAGACATTTATGTGATGTCTTTTTAATTCTCATTCCCATGAAGCTTGTGAGGAAATACATCAACGTGTCACTTCAGGGTAGAATAGAAATAAGGAATTCAGAACCTTATAAAGGATTAAATTGGGACTTTGAGTTCAAAGTCTCGGCTGACGCTGGAGGGGATAACACTGCATTGTCAGAAGTGATGTTCTTTGGAAGAGACATAAAATCGGTTTGCTGTCTGTTCAGGTGGACATTATGTACCTCACAAAACTATTGAAAAAGCGATAGGAGTTTCTCCACGTGTCCTGGACAACAATCCCCCAAATAATATTAGTCGTTCACATCAGGGCTCTTTGTGGAACACAGTAAATTTGCTACCCTGTTCACTACAATATGCACAGTCACTACACTTTATGGTAAATCCTGAAAAGCGCTTTGACAATTCCTCCTCACATGAACATCATTTTTATTTACACAATAAACCGAGCTTCAACGCACTGGATCCCCATTGGCAATAAAAGCTCAAACTGTGCCTTATCAGGACCTACGTTCAGGCAGGTGGACATCTCACCGTCAATAGCCCTCATTAGTTGGTCTTCATTAATTCATTAATTGACCCAGATGTGTGCCGGGTCGAGAATAATATGTGAACCCCATCAGACCCACTGAAGGCAGCTCAGCGATTGTTCTTCTGAGTAGCACTTTAAATGACCATTTAACTCGGCACCCAGTCATGCAACCCGTACATGTGTGCCAGTCAGAAATATTATTCATCTTTACATCACATGCATATCTCACTGGTAACATTCGGCATAAATCTCTCTATTGACACTTAAACAATTTATCCACCTGACCTATCTACTTTTCCCATTAACCCAAACATAGCAAGACACCCCCACTGAAACACAAAGTGACGCATGCTTTTTCTGGTGAGTCGGGTATCTGCCACATTCTGAAATTCATCGTCAGGCTTAAACGTAGCCAAACCAAACGGATAGTTCCACTGCCCTCGGGCGTTCAAACCGGCTAAATTCCTGGAGCATGCCTGCCGTTAAAAGCTCTCCTGCTGCGTTTCGAGCTGGGACCACCCTACACGTTAGGGCCTTGGCTGGCTGGGGTTAACGGGAGCTGAGCAGGAATGGCTCCCGGTCGCTAGTGTTTACTCCGTCCTTGTTGTTGACTGGCCAGCCTGTCTGTCATCAGCAGTTCTCTGGAGAACTGCGGACCCGCCTGGCTCGGGCTATGTACCAGTACAAAATTATGAAATATCCCATTCGATGCTGATTGTTCCAGGCCCTTTAGGACCATTGGAATGTCACGTCTGGAATGCAGTCAAGCAACACCGAACAATACAATGTTAGTTTGACACATTGCCTTTCGGAGCGTCGAGCTCTTTGGCTTCCTGCTTTTGGAAGGTTGCCATGGTTGTGTTCTCCTCAGCTCAGGGTAACAAACAAACCAGGCAGCGTCGAGGCAAAGTAGCAGCGGCCCATTTAAATTGTCAAGTGGCCTAATACGTTTTTTTTTAAAAATCACAAAAATAAAAAACCTGGATCAATTAATCCCCGCCCCCACCCCCCCAACACCACCACCACCGTCGCCATCGTCCTCCCAAGAAAATTAAACTTCACCGAATGACAATCGCAAAAGAAACCAAGGGGGAGGTACGACAACTTACATTTATACAGCACCCTACACGCGAGGTAGCGCCTGGGAGCGCTTAACAGTGGCAGAGCTTGAGTCAAGTCAGGGAGAGATGCGAGGTGACCACAGGCACGGTCAAAGAGGAAGGTCTTCAGGCATGATCTGACAACGGGCAAGGAGGGGCCAAGGCGGAGGGAACGAGGCGGGTAATTCCAGAATTTATGGTGAATGTTGGCAAAATTTGACTTTAAAGATCTTTATGTATAACAGTCAAAATGATCTGTGGTGTGCTGTAAAGGGGACTGTGTTGTCAGGGCCAAATAACTTTACTGACACCACAATTTGTTTTGACTTCTTTATGGCACCTAAAGTAGCGTTAAGTTAAAAGAAATGCACTTCCGTTGCATTCTTTGATCATTCTCCACCTCGCTTCACTGGTTCCCAGGCAGAGTATACGATAAGTTGCATTTCATTTACGAGGATTGTGAAGCAATGTCTGTTTTAACAATCGATGGAGCAGACAGGAGATGACAAGAAAACAGGCATCCATCCACACAACTTCCAGATTGTGGCAAAACTTTCCACGTTCCGTAACTTCATTTTACACCATTCCAACACAAGACACAGGAGCTCATGGTAACACAATGACCCTTGATTAACCGAGCACTGAGTGATAGTGTAGCTGGTAAATGATTAAATATTGCTAGAGACTGAACGTACGGTACATTCACCCACAAAATAGACAGTCAATTCACTTTACAGCATATCCTATGAAGCACTTTGAGACATCTCGAAGACGTGATAAGGCGCTATATCAAATGCAAGGATTATTATTATCTACACAACAGGCATATCTGACTGCAATAATGTTAGAGGAGTGCAGATTAATCAGTTTATTCATTAACTAAGGTAGTTCGAAAGACCAAATTACATTTCCCTTTGTGAAAGCAGAATAATGACATCCATTATCGCTGCTTAATAATTGCTAAATAACTGAGTCTTACTTCTCCTGCCCAGTTATCATGTTGTTGTTGTTGTTGGTCAAGGAAATAGATATAGACGGTATAATGCATGGGACAGATTTAAATCTGTCCAGGTAGATAGGAAGAACTCCTCCAATAATTCAAGCTGACCAACACAAAACTACCTTTACGCACCTACCACCAGCGATAGATGGTTGATGTCAGGAATCAAAAAGGCACACTAGGTCAAGCAAGTAGCGTTCCAATGTGGTGTGGTTGAGGTGCATTCCTACAGAGCTGAACCATTTCAACAGGGAATTGAATGGATTTGTGATGGTAAAAGGGTTTGGAATTGTGAGAAACAAGTGGAATTTAGAAATGGGACCCTCTAGATCAACCCATTGCCTGTGGGGCCTTCAAGAAGTGGCCCATCGAACGTTCACACTTGTCTCGGTGATTCTGTTTTAAATCAGTGTTGTTGTGTCCAGTAGTGATGAATACTGAGTGGTGATGTTGATGGTGGGGCCATCAATGAAGAAATATTCAATCAAGACACGTTATTCGGTTGGCGAGATGGAACTATAGCGGTCTTGCGAGGTCGATGATGATTATTGTTATTACTTTTATCATTATATAAAAAAATTAATGAATAATAATGATCCCTACAGATTTGTTTTGATAAATGGCAGGATCCAGACTTTGCCCTTAGTATTCATTCAGTGAAAAATACAGTCGGAAAAATATTCAATCTTTTTCTTAAAAGATCACAAGATTTGTTCAGATGAAGAAGATCCTTCCGATCTCATCCCTCCAGAATATAGTAATTCTTTACAAATGAAAGTTGGGAAAATTCTACTCGACTGGAAGGAGCCGGCACAGATATCATGGGCCGAATGGCCTTCTTGTGTGCTGTACATTTCCATGCTCCTGTGTTCTACATTTCATGAGCGTGTTGGGGATAAAGCATGTCAATGGGATTGAATTGATCTGCTTCCCCTGGAGTCGTTGCGGACTCGATGGACCGAATGGCCTCCTTCTGTGCTGTACATTTCTATGTTTCTCTATGTTTCTTCGCAGATGGTCAAGAAACAAACATTAGTTGTGCGTTCCTGTAGGACTGAAAGCACTTACCTGAACAACTATCAGCTTAGTTTGGTTTGCAGGGGGAGAGTCTGCATCTTTCACATTCTCAAAGAAGAAGTCGTAGTTTTCCAGCATGCTGGCCATGAGCTTGTTGGAAATATTTTGCTCTTTCATTCCTTCAAAACCAGGGGAAACGCTGCAGGGTAGAACAAAATGGAAGCATGTTACTCACAGTATCAAATATAATACACAGTGGCAGCTATTTATCCACTATACCCACTGGACCAAACTAACCAAGTCAGAAAAATCAGAGCACAGTCTGCCCTGTTAAGCTTTGAGCCAGGATTAATGCGAGTTATTTTCTTATTCGAGTCGGGCGCATTTCCAGAAATCCCGTGACTCACGGCGTCTCACGATATTTACAAAATAATATTTCAGTAATGATAAGATCTGATACTATTTCAACTCCTTTCACAGTGTAATAGCGCCTCGAGCTTAAAAACCACACAAATTGATCACTTTGACCCTGTCATCATCATGGCATTCACTATTGGCACCCACCTCGTCTCCCCCCGACCCTTCACTCGGATGGATTACATAGACTAAAACAGCTTTGAGCACAGTTTAAGGATTTATTCAGTTTCGAATCTCTCATGGTGCCAACAAACTTATTGAACTTTTCCCCTTACTCAATTCTAGTCTGCCTTAAACTCCTTCCCTCCCTCGACACCCCTGTCTTGCCCCTCTGCCACTTTGCCTCTATTTCTGAACATTTCGCCGCTGAACATTTTGTTCCCGATTGTTAAGTGTTTCACTCTACGGAAGAAAAACAGTCAACAATGCCAAAAATATTAAACAGCGTAGTCAAGGGGATGAAAGCATTGATGATGTTAAGCTAGGAGAACGTTGCGACGTACAGGATTTGCAATTAAATAAGGCAGTGTAGATTACACAGCACGTACGGCACGTCTACAGTAAATAGTTGAATATTCTATCAATTATTGAAACGTTCAATCAAATATTCAGAGCTTGAGGTCCTCAAAATCTCAGTTTGTACCACTATCCATCCTCGCAGACCAGGACAGCTCCAGAGGTCTGATATGCGACTTGATTTTTGCCTGCAGGGCCACTTTGTTTGGAAATTTAAGATTGGTCAGAATTGGGGAAAATTCTTTCATTCGGCTTGAATTTGGCTTGTTCTTCAGGACTGCAGAAAGCCAGCTTCCACATTAAGCCTGCGAACCCAAAATGTTGCGCAATTCTGCACCACCTTTAACTGATAAGACAAAATGGGTAATTAGGCCACCATCCCAGCGCCTCATCATCCCACACTATATACAGTCTATCCGCTTTACAATATATTCTGTCAAGTGCTTTGAGACGTCTCAACGACATGATACACTGCAAAATTACATTTGTATCGCGCCTTTCATGTTGGGAGGAAGTCCCAAGGCGCTGGACAGTCAGATAAGGCGCTATATCAAATGCAAGGATTATTATTATTAATTTGTATTGCATCATATATGAGACTTGTGTTTAATTTTTGCTCTCCAATGAGTTATTGCCTTCCTTTGGGTACTACAATCAGCCCGAGGTTCTTTGTATGAAAGAGGAGACTAGTAAGGGTTTTGCTCCTGATGCCAGCCCAGACACCACTGCGAGAAAGGACATAGAGAGGGCAGGTTAGGCCCCACTTTACACGACATTCGCTATGTAGGTTTCCACATGAAGAATGGGTTCTTGGGAGGGTGAACCACAAGTCAGTACTTTCAAGAGTGATGAGGAGAAAACTGGAAGAGGAGCTGGAACTTATTCTGCACAATGTCAGGTCACGCTGATATATACCAAACAGTTTCATTAAAAAAAATCGGATGGAGTAGCTCTGTCTCTTAGCAGATGAGAACCATTTCCTCACCGAGAAGGAGGGACAAGTGAAAGTTATGGTGCTCTCAGACTATTCCTACTACCATAATAATAAAAACAATAATCCTTGCATTCGTTATAGCGCCTTATCACGTCTTCGAGACGTCTCAAAGCGCTTCACAGGATACACTGTAAAGTGAATTGACTGTGCGTATTTTGTGGACGAAATGCGGCAGCCGACCGCGCACAGCAGCGTCCCAGTCACCCGCAGAACGGCATCGGTTTCAAACACATTCCGTTTTCACGAGTGAGCGACTTAGCTGGAAATGTTAATATGTACAACGTGTACGTCGAGGGCATCACGAGCTGTTCTCCTGGAATAATGGCATGCAGTCACAAACGCAAACGAGCTGCATGTGCTTCCCTTTGACTCAGCGGCTTAGGAACGCTAATACGCTGTCGCACAAACCCTGAGCCTTCGGCTAACGATAAGCCGAAAGTGTTGATTCTCCCCCCTTTCAGCGGTGGGGGAGAGAGAATCAACAGCTTTCATTCTTCGCCGTTATGTATATATATCTGTATCTTTTTTATTATTATTTCTTAATCCTTGCAATACAAATTTACATTTATGTAGTGGCTTTCAGGTTGGAAGGACGTCAACACGTTTAAACAATACCAGCCTGGCACCCGAGCTTCCGTTATTGAAAGTAGATTAACTATTCCATTTGGAATAACTTCCAAAGTAAAAAGGCCTCCAATTATATTAAATCCTGTAACTCTCTGTGAATTCTGTTTGTAAAGAGAAGCCGTTCTGCCCAAACCACAGCAGTTTATTTACTGGGTACTTTGAGAGCTTACCACCAAGTCCTTTGCCTAATTTGCGTACGTATTAAATAAATTAAAGGCATTTTTATATGTTGAGCGATGTGGCGAAGATGAAGAAAAAACGGATTGGGTATATTTTGTTCCAACAGAATAAATAGCTTTCATTTCAACTAATATCCCCAATGACTGTTGCCTATGGAAAGAAATAGGAGTAAATGGTGAGCATCTTACTTAAGAGGATTGAGTCGCCTGCGGTTATCAAGTCTGTCTCTCATACGTTTCTGGTGATGGGTTCTTTCCATGTCAGCCATGAGTGCATTGCCATCCACGGAGCTTTTACAGACCTTACAGTTTTGTCACTCTTTTACGATCTAATTCACTTATACTTTTACCAGTTGCTAACTCTTTGATCTCTGCCTTTTCTCCCCCCACGATCGAGCGAGGCAGTGCTTTTTTTTTGCTCAGCCTCTCTGCTGAACGCGCTGAGTCCCCTCTCCTCTTGCATTCGTCCCTCCTTACAAACTGGGGGTCCCTTCAACTGCCGCTGGTCTTCTTTTTTTTAAAATCTACCTTCCTCCCTCTGGAACCCTTCCCCGTTCAAACGCAAACATTCCAGCTGCTGCTGTCGTCCATTCCCTTTCCACCCGCCCTTTAAATCCATCAAACATTTCTGGGTGTCCTGGCGATTGGATCTCCTGGGATCACTTTCCTGACAGAAGCAAATAGCTGCACCTGGTCAGAGCCTGGTCAGGGTTTAACCACAGGGAGCAAACGTCAAGCCATCGATTCGCGGAGACCTCCTTGTCCTGGGGTCTGTGGATAGCCGCTGATGCTTAAGCAGCACCTGAGCCCAGCTGGTTCGGGCGGAGTGGTCGGGCAAGCACACGGCCTAATGACACCTCCAGCAGCTGAGCGCACGTGACTGGAGGTGGATCCAGTCTGACTCCAGTCTGGCCTTCACCCCGCTACCCGCCCGCTTCACCCACCAACCCCTTCACCTTGCCCCCTTTCCTCAGCTGCCTTCAGCCCTCGCAAGCGTTACCTGCGCCCCTCCCTCCCGCCCCCACCACACGCCCGCTCCCCTCACAAAGGACAGCACTACACAACCAGCCATTCCACACACACACACACACACAGACAGAAAGCCTCACGATTTGACCACTCGGTCAACAGACAGTAATTCCAGTTTAATCAGCAGAGGTACGCAGGGATTCGTTTAATGGTATCACTTTGATCCCATTCAGATCCAGAGGAGTGCAAGGGTTTGGGATTATCTAATAATACCTTTAGATCCCAAACTGGCAATATTGAAACTAAAATTAAACAGCATCAACTGTTTCGCATCGAAAGCAATGACTTACCGGAATACATTGGGGCCAAACACTGTGCCGAGGTTGTAAACAGTCATTCGGTTGGCCTCATGGTGAATAGCTACTTGCGTTAGAAAATGGCACAAAAATTTCAGCAGGCAGTAGTTAATGTCTGGAAGCTGCTTTATAAGGTACTTGAGTTCTTCTAGGTTTCCGTTGTGGTCTGGAATGAAAAAGAACTATTTATGGAATGCACGAATGCAGAAAATACACAGAGAAGTCAATCGTGACAAAGGCGCTACATCAAATGCAAAGATTATTATTATTATGATAATCTATTTCTATCATCGACTGCAAAAGCAAAAAACACTGCCTTGTTTTTTAATAGAAAATTAGGCGGTGCCGAAAACGACCTTCACTGGACACCGAAGTTGGTACCATCCTCGTGCTCATAATGATTTCCGTTTGTTTTAAATAGCGGTCACGCTTTGATATGGCCGTATCTGCACTTAGCCGGGAGTTGCGGAATTCTGCAAATTGACCAATACCATGAACCCAATCTCAAAATAGGTTTTGTGGTATTGCTCAACTATTGCATCCTGTAGACTCTCACTCTCTCCCCACCGACCCACTAGTCTATGTCAGGCAACAACAACCAAAAATTTACACGTGTGTAGCACCTTTCAAGTCGGGAGTACGTTCCCAAGATGCTGGACAGTCAGAGTTTCGGCCCCGAGCTGGGGGTCGGGATCGGGGAGGGTGGAGGCCAGAGCCGGCTGAGCGGAGGGAGCGGGCGGGTTGGTAGGGGGTTAGGAGGTCGCAGAGGTAGAGAGGAGCGAGACCGTGGAGGGCTTTGAAGGTGAGGACCAGGATCTTGAACTGTATCCTTTGTGTGATGGGAAGCCAGTGGAGTCGGGCGAGGATGGGGTGTGGGGGGGTGATAGGGTCACCGAGCCTGGTGCGTGAGAGGACACAGAGGCTGCAGAGGCAGGGAGGTGCAGAAGACAAAATTCCATTATTCACCAATAAAACCAAATCATTCATCTCACTATGATTTGTGAGATGTTGTCGGGGCTGGCTAGCAGTGGTGCTACTCTGAATTAACAATAATCATTACACTTCAAGGTGACTCACTGGATGAGAGCCTTTAAGGTGCGTCGTAGTGTTAAAATCTTAAATATTTCTAAGACAATTCAGTCAAAAATAAATGGTACAACACACTCCTTTTATGTCAATTCCACCCAAGCGGAAACCAGAACATTGAAATCAAGCCTAGTGTTAACTATGTACAATTATGTATTTTGAAAGCCATGAAGAGCATTCAAGCCTTCTTAATTGGGAACTTTACACCTGCATAATTGGCTAATTTGCATAAGGTCTAAAGAGTCAGTTTTGTTCCTATTATTTCCCAAACGAAAGTGACCCACTTATTTGAGTACGTTTCCATCCACTCTCCCTTAGTTTTGCTTACTTTCAATTTAAAAGAAAGGACTATCGTGTCAGAGCGGGAATCTGCCCACCGGCTACCAGATAAACAGCAATAATACTGAAGTTCGAGAAAATCTCCGGTGGTATTTCTTGCAGCGACGCTGGCCTGTACTCTCATCACAAGACGGTTTAATTGTAGGTGGTGCGGAACGCATTGTCTGTGCTGAAGAACAGCGAGCGCTCAGACAGACGTGTGCTTCCTGATTCCAGCAACAGTCAGTAAAGAACGTAGGTATATGTAGAGCTGGAATGGAGTGCTGGAGTTCATCTCTCCAGGCAGTCCCAAACTTCAAGAAATAATACTGTACTATCTCTCATACTGCACAACCGATTTCTTGATCTTTAACATCCACGGCTGTTTGTGGGGACGCTGCTGTGCCTTGGGACGTCCTCCCCACGTGAAAGGCGCTATACAAATGTAATCTTGTTATTGTTGTTGTTGTGCGCAATTGGCTGCCGCGTTTCGCCCACAAAACACACAGTCAATTCACTTTACGGTATATCCTGTGAAGCGCTTTGAGACGTCTCGAAGCTGGGAAAGAGGCGCTATAGCAAATTGTTATTATTATTATTATTATCCACCTGAACAGGCAGATGAGATCTAACATCTCATCTTAAGGACACCATCTCTGACACTGCAGGTTTCCTCCAGCAATGCACTGGAGGGTCAGCTTAGACCGTCAGTCCCACGATGATACGCTTGAAACCACAACCATCCGTCTCAGAGGCGAGAGGGCTCCCCAGTGAGCCAGGCTAACACCTACGTCAAATGCAATGATTATTATCTATTATTAAAAATCTGCTATAAAAATAAAAAAATTAAATATATTCTTTAAAACTACTCCAGTAGCATGCAACTGCCCTTGGTTCTGTTTTGTTAATGGGATTTGACGTTGGTAAAGTAAGGACCCTGTATTAATGCACATGGCAGATAACCACAACTTTACCACCCCACCCCCCACCTCCAAATAAATCCTTTGAACTTGGGGGAGAGAGGAGAGAGGAATAAAATTCCACGATTTTGGACTTCAAATAAGCCTCTTTGACCTAAACTCCAGAAAGGAATCCACAAAACCACAAACATTCACTGACCGACTGACCAACTGACCGACTGGATTGAATGAATGAATGAATGAATGAATGAATGAATGAATGAATGAATGAATGAATGAATGACCTTGACCGACAGGATCAACCCGACTGACCGAGGGATTGAAACGTAAAGGCTTTAGTAAGCTCTGGCACAAAGACATTCATTCAACGCTGTATTCGTCGGGCCAAAATTATCTACTTTTTCAGAGTGTTCACAGTTTCTTGGAAATGGCTTCATGAGGAAACAGCCTATCACTAGTATTTTCAGAGCACTGCATTTGTTTAGCCACAACAAGACACAATTGTTTCGGGATTTTTGTGAAAAGACCGAAACCACAGATCTTCGCTGGCACGAACATTGTTTCCCTATATTCACAGGACTGTACATCTACTCCAGCTCTAAGCAGTCAGATTACGAGGACCACACACAGACAGGCTCTCGCATAGTGACTCAGTTGGGGAAGTGGCTACTCAATGCTAAACGGACTCATACAGAGCAGGAAGGTCCCACATCCACATTCAGGTCCCCTTGGAGTGTGCTGAGTTCACTGATCACAGCTGGGGACAATAGTAATAATCCTTGAACATGATACAGCGCCTCATCTCGTCTTCGAGACGTCTAAAAGCGCTTCACAGGACATACAATAAAGTGAGTTGATGATATTTTGTGGGCAAGGCACGGCAGCCAATTGCGCACAGCAGTGTCCCACAAATAGTCGCGGATTGAAGTGATCGATTTATTATTATTATTTTTTTTGAGGAATTATTACCCCGGGAAAGCGATCCGCCAATCGACTAACAACCGGGTTCCTTTGGAACTAGTAAACAGTTCCGCTGGTAAACAGAGGCGTGTGGAGTAAGGAAACTTGCCGACCATTTCGCTCTGCCCGGGAATCAAACCCAGGAGAGTGCAAGGAGAGTGCTCTAACCACTGAGCTACAGGATTCCCACCATAGAGAGGCACTGCAAAATGATTCAGCGCTCTTGAGCGGAGGGAAGAGAAACAACCACTGCTCCCACTTCTGATCACTGTCCAATGATTTCTGATAGAAAACGTATAGAAGTGGGCATCAAGTAAGAACTCTTCAAGGTCTGTGAAATTCTGTGGAATTCTCCCAACGTGTTTTCCCTGCTTTTGTTCATATTCCTTCATACCATCACTTCCCAAGTACTTATCTTCCTCTAAAACTTCTCAAGTAATGATCTTTGGACGGGACCTTCAACAATCTGACAATTACCCATGTGTATGTCAGCTATTTGTCAGATACATGTGGAAATTCATCGCCGTGCTTAAGAGAGAACTGGATAGACATTCGGGGAGGACAAATTTGCAAGGCTATGGGGAGAGAGCAGAGAAGTGGGATTAATTTGGATAGCTCTTTCAAGAGCTGGCACGGGCACGATGGGCTGAATGGCCTCCTTCTGCGCTCTATAATTCTATGATCCCGGAATTCTCAGTTTGGTTTGGATACTCTTAAGCTTGGTGATGAATTTCCGCACGTATCTGACAAATTGCATGTCACACACAATCACCCGCTAGTACGTTCCGCCCACAAAATATCCAGTCAATTCACTTTACGGTACATTCTGTGAAGCGCCTTGAGACATCTCGAAGTCGTGATAAGGCTCTGTATCAAATGTAAGGATTATTATTTATTCAAATCAGGATCTGTTTGAGGAACTGGAGAGAAGCAAACAACTTTACTCAGAACACGATGCACCGTCCCTGGACTATTTTGTTCCACTGCACAACTGCAACATATGGTGGGACAGACTAAACCTAGAGTATCATAAACCAGTCGACCAAGCATGTGATTGTGCATTTTTTTTGTTTACCACCACCGCTACGAAACGTTTTCTTCATCTGACCTGATCATAATCACTTCTGGTTATAATTAGCAAGACCGTGCAAGGTCACCGTCACTGAAATGATGCACTTTATATCCTCGTTGAAGTTGTCAAAATCTGCATTAGTCAAACTAGATTCTCCAAATTAACTGTACAACAGCCTGAGATGTCCAGGTAGTCCTGAAGTTGGCAACTGAGTCATGATGGCTGACTAGTTGACGCATTCTAAAGCCAAAATACCATTAAAGTTTGACTTGTTTCGCACTCGTGTGCAGCTCTTCTGCTGATTGTCATTGGATATATTGAACACAAATGAACACAGCTGTAACAAGCAATACCCTACTTCCCAGCGGTAGGATTTATGACTGTAAAGTTCACTTGAAGGCTGTTGCCCACTGCTGTAAAAGGGAATTTCTTATTCATACATGGTAGGATTTCAAATACCGATTAACCCTCTCAGTAAACACTCTCTGAACAGCAAACCTTCACAAAGAGAAGGAAGGACAACTTTCTTCGGGTATGCCTCAGGCATTCATTCTGCACCGACTTTCCTCAAATAAAAAGTCTGGGATCATCTTGTTCTGAATCTTTATGTTGCCTTATAGTTGTTTGGTCTCCATCTCAACACCAAGTGCAATTCTTCCACTGCTTTGACTAGAAGGTTAGGATGATGCCAACATCACTTTGGTAATCGAAGGTAGTAACTGTTGCAAACGTCCTTACAATCAAACTATCTGCCGCAAATCAGTTAGTTCATCTTGCAATGGTCTATCTGGGACACGTCCAACTTGTCTG